GGCCATATCGCATTTATGTATCTCTGTCCTTTTCGCTGTCACCGACACATGCACGAGCATATTTTATTGTTGCATACTTTGGGGTTGGGCTACCCTGCACTTCCCTTTGTATTTCCCTATTCCATTTCTCTATTTTTTATATTTTCCTACATTTTCCCCTCATTAAGTTTTGCAACTGCGCTGCTCGTGCTTCTTCGCTGGCGGAAAATATCTGCAAGTGCACAATTATCGGTTAGTAGTCGCCGCATCGCTAGAGAATCGAGATACGCGATACCTGCGAAAGTATTCACTAAATTTCTATATTAAAATCGATAGTTTGTGATAAATATTTTGAGGAAAATCAATACAAATTTTTTTAGTGTTACCAGTTTGCGTTTTTTTGCTGTGTGACCATGCCAATTAGTTGGAGTTCAAATTAAGATTATTTTAACTTGTGATATATTTTTGTTCCTGCAACATTCAATAAGTTGAGAGCTCGATTTTTCCACTTCAATTTTAATTTGACCCGACATGCCATTCAACTTCTTGCACCTGAGCTCCAGATTAGCTGGCTTCATCAGGAAAGGGCCGAAAATGGGACTTTTGGTTGGGTAGGGAAATTTGCAATTCCATTGCCTCGGCTGTCAGATGGCAAAAGTGAATTGGCTGCGGCTGTAAAATAACCAGACAATCTCCTGTTATTCCCTGTTACCATATATGCATTTCCCCCGGCCAGGCGATGCACCAAATTTGATTGCGACTTTATGGCAGCTTCGGATTCGGGTTCAGATTCCGATTCAGTTTCTGATTCAGTTTCAGTAACGGCTGCTGTTCCATTCGTTGCATTATGCAGTGCCTGCAGTATGGGCAGCTTTTGAGGGGGCGATCCGCATGGAAATTTGTGACATACAAGCTGGCAGTTCGAGGCAGGCAAAAATCATTTAATATGGAAAATATTCGCCCGAATTCCGTTTGCCGTGTGTTTGCCATGCGTAAAACGAAATAAAACTGCATAATAATTTGATGAAATCGTAAAACAAATTAACTGTGTGTGTGTGTGCGTTCTGCAAATATGGTATTTAATTCGTAAAAGTTTTCCATTCGAAGGGGAAATAATATGGTAGAATAAATATAGTTTTTATATGGTTACTGTAAGAGACAATTTTACTCTCCACTTTTTATTATTAATTCCCCCAATATTTATCCAATAGTTTATCAAGTGCCCAGAATTGATGGCAAAGAAATAATAATTTTTCCATTCGAAAATTCGAGTTATTTGCTCTCAATATTCATATATTTACCTTTGATAAATTAAAAGAAAATTGTGCATTTTTATGCCAGCACAGGAAGTACTTACCAGATAATATTGTCACTCCGCATTCATATTCATGAATTGAGCGACACCGAAACCCTTGCTGATGCCAATCTTTAAATAACGTTTCTTCACCTTTACCTTTTTTCGGGTCTCCTTTTCTGCTTCAAATGAAATAAACTGTTCTTTTAACCGCCGACAAGCGATAGCAGGCGGTGGGGGAAAGTGAAAACACATTTATCTCGATTTTCACGCTGTCAGCAGCAACTCAAAAAGGCGACAGTTTGTGAAAAAAATAAGAAAAAGCACAAAATAAATAAAACAAAAACCAAAAAAATATATATATGTATGTAGCAAAAAGGACGAGAGCAAAACGAACCCTGCACAAAGTCAATTTCAAGATTTATTTTTCGCAATTTAACATTTCTGTTACGCCTGTCAGGCGGCAAAGCAAAACAAAAGCGGGAAAGCCGGGGAAAAACAAACCGAAAACCGCCGAAAAAAGAAGAAAAACCAAAGGAAAAGTCCTGCGGGCCGGAAAGCAGAAGGTGAATGCGGTTAAGAAAATAATAATAAATTAAAAGCCTGTGCCCCACCAGCCGAAAGGTCAAATAATTTCAATAACACAGGAAAAAAGGAGCAAATCTGTGTCCTTACGCGATTCGGAATTGAAATTCGGAATGAAATGCCGAAAGGCAGTGTCAGAAAGTGAAAAAGGTAAAGCTCAATCGACTTACAAATACCCGACAATATTTAAATTTTTACTTAAAATATAATTTAATTTTATTAAAATATTAATGTCATCCCACAAAATACAGATAAATCGCTTTAAGGTGTATTGATAATTTTTAGAAATTTAATATATTTTTCAACATTTCTAAATTTTATCAAATTAAATTTGCAATCGAATTGCCATCTAAGAACCCATATACCCCGCTGGCCAAGAGAGAAAGGGGCCAGAGGACAAGTCGAGAAATTCTGTTGCCGATGCTTTTTAAGTATTTTCAATTTCGGCAGCCAAGATGGAACTTGCCACGCCCCCCTTCGGCCCGCCCACTGTTTTTGTACTCGAATTTATTTGACCCCGAGGGTCAATACGCGGAGAAGTCAAAAAGCAGCGCGAAATTCGTGTATGTTCCCCGCGAAAGTAATCAGCAAGCAGTTTTTTCTTTTTTCTTTCTTTTTTTCATTAATAATAAATTAGGAGCACACCGGAAACGGAAATGCGCGTTGGCAGCCCGCCCAGAGCTAACTTTATTAGTTTTTTGCTTTTCGCCCGGGGAATTTGGCGGCATTAGGAAGAATTCATTTTTGCATTTTTCAAGAATTAAATTCCACAGATTCCCGGTCCCTTGGTGTTTGCTATATATGTATGTATATTTTTCGGGGCCCCCCTCTGTCTTTGTGCTCACATGGGAATCCAATTAAATGCTTTGCTAATCCACCGAAAAGTGGGGAAAATCACAGAAAATCTGCGCTCGCTTTTGCTTTTGCTGGCGGCTGCTTAAGTCAATAGAGTAGTAAATGAAGCCTCGGTCTTATCAGCCAACCGAATGCCAGATGTACACTAAGCAAAAAAAGATATCTAGTATCTTAAAATAAAATAAAAAATTTATAATAAAATACAAAATCTCATGTAGTATTTTTAATCCAAGAAATATACAATTTTATTTAAGAATTTATACATTTAGTAATGAAATAACTTTTAAATGCCTGAAGCATGCAGTGAATAAAAGATAGTCGTCATCCTGTATAAATTCGTATTTAAGATATATTGTTGCTCACTTTTAGACACTTTTTTGACATTCAAAAGCTGATTCTGTATTCCTTTATTTATTCCTCCTTGTGTAAATCGCAATCTCCGTTTCTCTGGTTAGTCACAGCTTAAAAGCTTGGCTAATAAAAACTGGAATTATGCGTGAGTGTGTGTGGAGGGCAACTCGGATGGAAATTGAAGATGAAAACTCAGACAGAGATGTTGTAGTCGAAATGGAGATGGCTAGCCAACCCCCCTGTTGCTGGGGGCAATTAAACGATAAGCGTAATCTGCGCTGTCAATTCACACAAAATGCGTAAAGTCGTCAGTCGAGAGGGATTTTAATTAGCCGGCACAAAAATTCCAGCCATCCAACTATCCTTTGCGCATATTTCATGGCCCACTCACCCACACGCCCGCCGCAAACTACACACACTCGCATACATATTCTATATGGTGAAGAGTCGGAAAAGCGGAAAAGTGGGCGGGCCACTAAGTGCGGCCAATTAGCACAAAGACTGGGGAAAGTGTTTCCGTTTAGCAGATGAGAAAGGCGAGCACCTCTCAAGTGACAATTTGCTTAGCGCTTCAATTTGGATGCGAGGGCCGAGGGCCAAGTGGTGAGGTGGAAAAGTGTGCAAAGGTGGGTGGAGGGGGGTCGGAAAAGCGGTGACCTCGACCAAGAATAACCCACAGACCACTGCCGTGTCAAACGTTATACGAAGGCGACAAAATATGCGTACCAACTTTGTAATTTTTTTATATTCTAACTGCAATGAGGTGCAAAAGGGAAACAAAATCCAGAATTTTTATCCCAATTTTCCACCTTTAAAAACTGTTTTTTAGCTAACATTGTGTCTAAATAAGGAGTTTAATATCTTAATGAGCTCGTAATTAAATCCCCAATCGATTGGCATTAAAATCTGAAACTTTTAAATTTTGGCCAATTTTCGCAAAAAACCTTATAAAAAAAAATCTTAATTGGCGAACATTTTTTTTTTCAAAATCACACGGAAAGTTGCATGGACTAATTTATAATATTCTAATCTGTTCGAAACAGTATGCATTTTTGGTGTAAAAAACAAAACGAAAAAAATTCATATTTTTGTAAAAAAAACAAAATCCTTAATTTCCAAAAAAACGAAACAGTTTTTCGCTAACACAAAGGAAACACTGATCCAAATATGGATTGTCATACCTTTCTGAACTCGTTATAAAATTTCCAATCGATTGACATTTAAACCTGGACATTTTATTTTTTTTACATTTTTCGCAAAAAATTATGATGTACCCCCTTAAAAAAAATGGAAAATTGACGAAAATTTTATTTTTTCAAGATTACCCGGAAAGTGTCATGGATTTATTTATTATTTTGTCATCTGTTCAAAACAGTATGTATTTTTGGTGTAGGACCATTTTTGGCCAAGTTACAGTAAAAAAACGAAAAGGAAAACTTCATATTTTTACTAAATAACCAGATCTCAATTTTTTTACAAAAAAAAAATCGTTTTTTGACCGTAGCAATAGAAATATTGATCCAAATATGGATTGTCATACCTTTCTGAACTCGTTATTGAATTTCCAATCGATTGGCATTTAAACCTGGAAATGTTTAATTTTTGACATTTTTTGCAAAAAATCATGATGTATGATTTTGCGAAATTTGGTCAAAAAATTTGTTACCCGGAAAGTGATGGGAATCGTTAGCTTATGTTGCCAGCTGCCCAAAACTTATAGCTGTGGGACTTGAGTTGACCAAAATACGATTGAAAAACCGCGAAAGCTGGATATTTATAGGGTAAACTTCAAGTATATGTTATTCGAGGCACAGATACAGTGCTTTCGCTTAGAACCGATCCTTCAGCTAAACTGAGGTCTTCCTTTATTTACATGCAAATCTTTCATTCAGCGCGATTTCTTGCCAACACATCTGACCAATCCGTCTCCTTGCAGGGTACTATCACGCAAACTAAAGCCACATCTTGTTGCGGACACCGTTAAGCAGTATATAAGTCGGGCCCAACGCACAACCAAAAAGGGTTCTCAAGAGCAGCAAAATATGGAGTTTTTACGCGGCGTCTATGCGTTTATGCAAGTGAGTAGATCATCGGTGAGTGTCCACTTCCTTTTTAACAACCGTACTAATCCATGTGAACTTGCTCTACTTTTATACCGCCTTTGGTTGATTGATTGATTATACCATACCATACTCTCTACTCTACTACTACAACTCAACTCGAACTCAAAATCAAATCAATTATATCTCTCAAAAACCAAAAAAAAAATATCGATTTGAGTCACAAAAAAAATGAAAAACAAAAACCGCAAAACAAAAACGCAAAGCAAAAGCGAATCAAATATGTTACCACTACCTTCTACTACCTATTTATTTATACTACTACTCTACCACTACCACTCTTATAAGCGTAACTAATGAGCCAACCAAAAACCAAATACGAAAAACAAATAAGCCGAGAGTATCAAATGTATCTTACACTATATACTACTGACCCCCAAAAAACCAAATAAAATTATAAAAAATTCAAATACAAATGCAAATACCGATTCCTCCCATGTGTAAACTTCGGAACTCGACAGAAACCTGTGGACCGTCGTAATTTGGGGTCTCCAACCAACCCCATATAACCATCGTCGAGTAACAATGCGAAAAAAAGAAGAAGATATACCAGCCCAGACCATTCCATTCCAGTCAAAAGTAATACTCGTCCCACCACTTTACTTTTACTCTCCCCAAAACCCCACCCCCAACCGCCATTCATTTCGTTTGTGTTTTCCGTTTAGAGGCCATGACTTTTTAACCATTGCCATTCCATATAACCCGGCCCCTAGATGATAACAATAAAGCGAAATGCAAATAAAAGTAAAAGTAACCAGAACCAGAATAACAATACTCGTAATAATGTACTTACCGTGAGCACATTCCTTCAAAAGATCACAACAGAAGACAAAGAAAACAAGAAACAATAAAACAAAAAGAAACCAAATGAACAATCACAAGAAAAGGTCATCTGAAAAACAACCAGAGAAAAAAGCGCAGAAAAGATTAAATTAATATGCAAAACATTCATCAAGTAGGATTTTCAACATGACAAAAAACACCAGCGGCGGGACAAAAGATGATGACGTCTCTTTCTCGCCCCTCTGTTGTCGTCTCTTTCGAACGTTGCAAATTCCTCATTGAGACCCATTTCTGAGCCCATTGTCCATTAATAACCATTGTCCATCCAACATTCCCATCGCTCTATCTCTATCTCTCTCGGACTATCTCTCTCTTTCCAACACACACACACGAAAGACACATGTCTCTGTCTCTCTCTTTCCGTCTCTATCTTTCTCTCTCTCTCCGTCACTCTATTTGTGTCTCTTTCTGTGTTGAATTTGATTTTTGTTTGTAATCGGCTGTGTAATTGATTGATTAGCTAATATGTTTGGAGTCTATGAATATATTACCGTAATCGTTACTATATCTATGTCTGTCTCCCTCTCGCTGTTTGTGTGTTCGTTTGTTTGTTTGTTTGTGTTCTTTATAAAGCAAAATTATTAAGCGATTTTTTGGTTAAGCTCAATCTCTAGAACTCCCAAATTGTGTGCGTGTTTAACCTTAACCCATAAGAACTACAGTAAACGAACACAAACGCACTGTCACAAAACTCTTAGCCCCCCAAGAGCCCCCGGGATCCGATCCGGAGAAGTCTTATAGGGTTCTTTTTGCGACGATCTACATGTACATAATTAAAACCCAAACAAAATGCTTTATATATTTGTATATTATATACCGAACGAACGAAACCCTAAAACCGAAACGAAATGAAACCGAAAAACTCGAATGTGCCGCCACGTGAAGGTTGACTACAGTGGAAACGGATACGGAAACGGCAGCGGCGGCTATGAGGCAACCCTGACAAACCTGCCCAGCGACAACCCAGATCCGTCAGCGATAACCGGAAGCGGATCGATAAGCGATAACGAAAAGGAGGCCGAGGCGGCAGCAACATCAGCGACAACAGCTGGGGAAGCCGAGGTCCTTTGGCCAAACTCGATAGACAGCTGCAATAAGACTAGCAGTACCATCAGCAGTACCAGCACCAGTACCACAACCAATACCAGTTCCAGTTCCAGTTCCAGTACCAGTTCCAGATCAGATCCTGCCCAGAAGAGGAGGCCACCTGGTGCGCAAAAAATATCGACGACGAACAAACCCAGAGACAGTTGAGAGTGCGGCAGATATAATGGGCATCGGTGCCAGATGCGGTGAATTACGAGCAAGAACTATGAACTACGATCGAATAATGCTAACCATTGTGATAACTCGTATGTACATATAGCCACGTATATATCCAAGTATATAACAAAACATATTTACAAGCGAACTGCAAAACCAAATCAAAAATCGAAACGAAACGAAACGTGACGCGCGATAACTTAGCACCACAGAGCAACTAAAATATGTAAAAAGAAAAACCAAATAAAAACCCAATATCAAAATCAAAAAGTATCTAATCGTAAAATCAAATGAAAACAGGGCAACTCGTGAAAAGGTGGCCTTAGCTTGTGCGACTGAACAAACAAACCGAATCAATTCATCGATTAACGATAACAGATAACCGATAAGCAATAAAACGATCAACGAACGAATCAGCGATCAATCGAATTAAGAGCGATATCCCAAAATCGATAACGAATCGTAAACGAAATCAAAAGCGATCTCAACGATCTCAAGCGGCAGCTGCGGCGGCGATAACAATTATCGATAGCCGATAGACTGGCTCTGAACCACTGCTGGCGGTGTGTGTGTGTGTGCGCGTGTGTGAGCGGTGCCGCCCACGCCCATCCATCCCCACCCCCGCCAAGAGCAAAGTGATAGAAAATGGTAATTACAACTCAAGCAATTCTAGTTCTCATTTTAAAAACTCACCACCCACTTTCCACCCGCTCCCCCGAAACTACCGAAAGTCTAGAACTATCGAACTTCAGCTCGGTTTCTCTATCGATTTCCCTCCATAGGGACCTATCGCTCTATTCCCCCCGTCAATCTCTCTCTCTGTCTCAGTCTATCTCACCAGTCCTGCCCGCCCCGTCTCTTTTTGTCTCTCTCTTTCTTTCAAACCACACTTGATCTGCGCCTTGTTTTTGCTTATAAGTATTGCACATATATAAATAAATCATTATATATTTACATTGTAGTTGATTAGCTAAAATTGTGCTTTTTGATTTATCGTTTTCATTGTTATCGTTAATCGTTTTTGATTTTAGCCCCGAAACCCGATAACCCCCTATGTTAGCTGAAACGTTTTTTCGGTTCACGTTTCTTTAACTTTGCTTTGGCTTTGTCAACTCTATCCGTCTCCTTCTATCTCTCTACTTGTCTCTTTCCTTGATTTTTTAGTGATTTTTAAGTCTAGTAGAGCGCGATTCCAGGATTCCAGATTAAAGAACAGATAATCGCAGAACAGAAACAGAACAAATCAGGGGATGCAAATTGAAAGAAAAATACGATGATCGATATTTTATCAAAAACGCAGCCGCATCGCGCCGAAAAGGAAACCGATAACCAGAACCCTAAACCGACGATAACAAATTGCTCGCCTGCCACCACAGAATATGCTGTCGACGTCTACGTAAAAATTAACAATTAAACATATTACAATTTATAAAAACCTAGTGAAATATGAAAGGCTCACGCTGAAAACCAAATCAAATTTAATACAAAATGAAGTTTGTATCGATTTATCCGCCCTAACCCTACTTGTGTCTCTTTCTCTCTCTATCTCGATATCTCTCTGTCTCTCTTTAGTAACTCTGACACACCCACACTGTAACAGACACACAAACACACACGCAGACTTTGTAAAAGTATAGTAAAGTGTTGCGAGTGCCTGGCGATAACCGATAAACAATCACGATAAACATTACGACAACGATAAGCTGGCAAGAAAAGGATAAAACCGATCAGCCAAGGTTAACTTTTTCAGTTGATTTCAATTATGATTTTCCACATCTATCAATAACGATGACTATTTATGCGTATGTAACTAATTAAGTAGGTCAACTCAACCAAATGCAATCGAAGCATTCGATAACTGTACCCAAATGCTATCTCAGGGCAGGAGGATGTGAGGAGTCCAAACGGATGAGCACTGAAAGTCTGAAAGCCAAAGATAGCCCATTAAATAGCTCTATTGCCGCGTATATGGTGTTCTGTGTAAATATATATATATATATTTTGCCTAAAATATCAAACGCGACTAAAGCCCGAAAAAATATAGGAAAAGAAAAGAAAACGAAACGAAACACATAAAAGCAAACTTGAAATTGAGCAAACTTGAAACAATCCTCCTCATGTGGAACAATTATCGCCAAGAACCAAAAACAAAACCCCTCTGTATCTTTTTCTCTCTTTGCCGCTCTCTCCGTCTCTCTCTTTCTCTATTTAACTCTTTCTCTCTGAGTCCAGATAAACCCCGTACCGTACCTGAAGTCTAGCTAAATAGCCTTACCTGAAATTCGATAAAAAACTAAAAGCAACCCTAAAATTGCAATCGAAAATTTGTTGACTCTCCCACACCGCGCACACCCAAAAAAAAAAAGCTTTTGATTTGAGATGATCTTTTGTTCCAGTAACGCCCTCAGTTCTCTCACCAACCAACCCGTTCTTTCTGCCTTGCCCCCCAATCAAGTAGTTAAAGCCCCCAAAATAACCCCCCAACAATACCGAAAACTGATACAAAACAAAAAAGAATCCCCCAAATCCCATAAAAAAATACAACTTGCACGTGTCTTAAGCCGTAAACTGTACGCAACAACTCAATCAATTGCAGTCTCTTGTGTTCTATAATATGCATACTCGTATCTATATCCATAATGCTACTCGTACTGTACCAACTGTATCATTTGTTGTATTGTTTGCCGGATATCCCCGTAGTAACTTGAGCGTAACGTACACGGAAATGTTTCGATCGGCAGATCTCAGCAAGCAATCAAGCGTGATAATATCAATAATACCCGTAACGTATCGTAATCAATCAATATCCAATCAATATCTCGTATTGCGGCATTTGTGGTATTGTAACCGTATTCGTAATATCAAGT